GAGCAAGAGGCCCTGAGACGGGTGACCCTGAGATGAAGGGAGCTGCTCTTTGGGAGAGGGTGAACGCACCACTCCCTCCCCCGGAGGAGGGCCGGGCAGAGAATCTTTTGTTTATTTTTTTCCCCGCCACTGACTTCATGGTCAGTGGTACCCAAAACCTCGACAAAAGAGCAGTTTCCTATATCTCTGGGTCCCCAGAGGGGACTGGGAGTTGTGGACGGGCCAGTCTCGGATCACACTCACCCTCCTCTCTCGCCAGTGAGCAGCTGTGGGCGGTTCGAGAGTGCAATCAAACGTACTACTCACGCACCCTCTGCCCGAACGCAGGTAAGTGTTGCACACACGCTGACCCTGCTTCGGACCGGCAACGAGACGCCCTGGCCGGGTTCCTGCGTTCCCCCTCGCTGCCCCACCGCGGGAACGTTGGTGGTTCCTTTGGTGCCACTTGTACGGTATCTGGGAGCCTGGCTAGCGCTCCGCAGTCCGTCTCGTTGGCTACTTCAGACCATCAGACTCGGCTATGTGATTCAGTTCGCCCGGCGTCCTCCCAAGTTCAGGGGCATCCACTTCACTTCAGTGAAGGTGGCAGATGCCCCTGTCTTGCGTGCAGAGATCGCAGTCCTACTGGCGAAGGATGCGATAGAGCCGGTCCCTCCAGCCGATATGAGGTCGGGGTTTTACAGGCCTTACTTCATTGTACCCAAGAAAGGCGGTGGGTTAAGACCAATCCTGGATCTGCGAGTCTTGAACCGGGCCCTTCACAAGCTTCCGTTCAAGATGCTCACGCAGAAGCGCATCTTCGGGTGCATCCGTCCCCGAGATTGGTTTGCAGCGATCGACCTGAAGGATGCGTACTTTCATGTTTCGATTCTTTCGCGACACAGGCCATTCCTGCGGTTTGCGTTCGAGGGTCGAGCATATCAGTACAAGGTCCTGCCCTTCGGGCTGTCCCTGTCGCCCCGTGTCTTCACGAAAGTTGCGGAGGCGGCTCTTGTTCCCCTGAGAGAACAGGGCGTTCTCAACTATCTCGACGACTGGCTCATACTAGCTCAGTCTCAGGATCAGTTGTGCGAAAACAGGGACTTGGTGCTCTCGCACCTCAGCCAGTTGGGCCTTCGGGTCAACTGGGAAAAGAGCAAACTCTCGCCGACGCAGAGGATCTCTTTTCTCGGTATGGAGTTGGATTCGGTCTAACTGACAGCACGCCTCACGCAGGAACGTGCTCAGTCGGTGTTGAACTACCTGAATATGTTCAAGAGCAGGACAGCGGTCCCACTGAAACAGTTTCAGAGGCTCCTGGGGCATATGGCAGCGGCAGTCACACCGCTGGGGCTGCTTCATATGAGACCGCTTCAACACTGGCTCCATGGCCAAGTCCCGAGGTGGGCGTGGCAACGCAGCACTCACCGGGTCCAAGTCACACCGCCCTGCCGCCAAACCTTCACCCCGTGGGCAGACCTGGAATTTCTCTGGGCAGGAGTGCCCCTAGAACAGATCTCCAGACATGCTGTGGTTCACACGGATGCCTCCACCATCGGCTGGGGGGGCCACGTTCGACAGGGCTTGCAGTGTCGGGGGTTTGGACGGGCCCCCAACTGCACTGGCACATCAATTGCCTACTGCCTAGAGTTGCAGGCGGTACGCCTTGCCTTGATCCGTCTCAAAAAGGCGCTTATGAGGCAAGTACGTACTGGTCCGTGCGTACATCAACCGACAAGGTGGTCTACGCTCCCGTCGCATGTCGCAACTCGCCTGCCACCTCCTCCTCTGGAGTCAGAAGCATCTGAGGTTGCTTCGTGCCATTCACATTCAGGGCTTGCACAACCGGGCAGCCGACGTGCTGTCACGAGCTGCGCTTCTCGGGGAATGGAGACTCCATCCCCAGACGGTCCAGCTGATTTGGAGACTGTGGCACCCGCGTCCAGACCTCTGGAAACTTCTAGGAGGTTCTAGGTGACCTACCCCAGGAGGTAGCTGACATCATCAATTCAGCGAGAGCACCGTCTACGAGACACGCTTACGCCTTGAAGTGGAACCTGTTCTTCAAGTGGTGTTCTTCTCATCGAGAGGACCCCCTAAAATGCCCGATCAGAGTCGTGCTGTCCTTTCTGCAGCAAGGGTTGGAGCGAAGGCTAAAACCACGACCCTGTGGAAGGGAAGTCGGTGGGGAAGCATGACCTGGTCATCAGGTTCCTTAGGGGGGGGGAGAAGGCTAAATCCTCCACGGCCCGCTCTATACCCTCTTGGGACCTGTCTCTAGAGCTCAGAGCACTACAGCAGGGCCCATTTGAGCCTTTGCAGACAGTTAAGCTGAAATTTCTATCAATGAAGACTCTGCTCCTGCTTGCACTGGCCTCCATCAAGAGGGTAGGGGACCTGCATGCATTTTCGGTCGACGGTTCGTGCCTAGAGTTTGGGCCGGCTGACTCCCAGGTAATCCTGAGGCCCCGGCCCGGCTATGTGCCCAAGGTTCCCACTACTCCCTTCAGGGATCAGGTGGTGGGCCAGCAAATGCTGCCCCCGGAGGAGGCAGACCCAGCCCTAGTTTTGCTTTGTCCCGTCCGAGCTTTGAGATGCTACGTAGACCAGACACAAAGCTTCAGGATCTCAGACCAGCTCTTTGTCTGCCACGTAGGCCGGCAGAAGGGGAATGCGTCTCTAAGCTGAGGATGGCCCACTGGATAGTGGATGCCTTCACCCTGGCTTATCAGGCACAGGGTGTGCCCTGCCCGTTCAGGTTGCGAGCTCACTCAACTAGAAGTGTTGCATCCTCCTGGGCGCTGGCTCGTGGCGCCTCGCTGGCAGATATCTGTAGAGCTGCGGGCTGGGCGACCCCCAACACATTAGCCTCAGAGCCTGTGTTTCCCCAGCAGACTTCTGCCATTTCCAAGAGGGTTGTAATCACCTCTAATCTTCCATATGCACCTAAACGGTCGTTTATATGTGTGAATGCTTCCTAAACCTCCTTCGGGAAGGATGGGGCATCCGCAACGTTTCTGTTCCAAGCAGAACGGGTACATTTTCCCAGTGTTATCCAATCTCATTGAGTGGATACTGCTACAACAACAGTGACTGGCCTTCTTGTTGCGAGCCCCGGCCTACACCAAAAAGGGGCGCAGGCGGCTCGCACAGGACACTGGAAGGGGCAGCATCCATGGCGCTTTGGTAGGGATCCCAATACGTCGGTCACCGACGTGACGTCGAGAGTGACCTACTGAAATGAAAACATATGTAACCCTCGTTCCCTGAAGGAGGGAACGGAGACGTCACGTCCCGTTGCCACGGCTGCTGTACCACCGCTGAGCGGCCGGGTCACCGGCTCGGCTCCTCAGCGCCAACCCGGTATGCGTTGCACACGAGGGTTACATATGTAACCGAGACGTTCTGAACATTATAATCCAATTATAAACCATATGTTCTGAAATGTTATGAACGTTATAAAGCTGTTCATATGTTTAAATTTAAATTATGTGTGTGGAATATAGCTAGGTAAGACTTTAGTATAGGGACCAATTCTCACTATTAAGTTGCTTATTAGCACGCCTATTATTAACAATATTGTCTGTTTATTAGTAGGCCTACTTATAAAACTACATATTCTGTGGTTACCAATACCTAAACTTAACAACTACCTTACTAACTATTAATGAGCAGCAAATTTGGAGTTTATTGAGGCAAATGTCGTAGTTAATGGTTTGTTAATGGTGAGAATTGGACCTTAAAATAAAGTGTGACCAAAGCGGAAGTTCAGAACACTCTCATGGCAGTTTGTAACAATTTTATATTTTGGCGAATTGGAGGTGAATTGATATGAATACACTGAATTTCATTTTGTATGTTTTGTGTAATCTGCTTTATAAGCTAAGTTTAACTGCGGACCTTCATGCTTTGTTTTTCTAATGAAAATTAATAAATAAAAAAAATAAATGCACATTTTTGTACAAATCAAATCATACAAATTCACATCAAATTGACAAAAAAGTATTCTAATGAGATCAGGTTGAATAGTAAAAATTGGATGTTGGACTTTCTTTCTTCTGCGCAAATTCAGATGTTTCCTACTTCTCAGGTGTTTATCCCAAGCAAACATACACCAGTATAATCTCACAAATCTGCAACCAAAAGAGATGTGAACTAATTTCTCAAATTTGTCCCAGATCAGATTTTCTAAGCTGTACTTGCATTAATTTAATAGCTATTTTTAATAACTATTTAGCAAAAACATTGAACTCTGCTCCTCTTAAAGGGGTCATATGATGCTATTTCAAGTTTTCCTTTCTCTTTGGAGTGTTACAAGCTCTTGGTGCATAAAGAAGATCTGTAAAGTTGTAAAGACTAAAGTCTCAAATCCAAAGAGATATTCTTTATAAAAGTTAAGAGTTAGCCACGCCTACCTAAAACAGCTCGTTCTAACACGCCCCCACATATCTACGTCAATATGTGGAAATATTAGCATAATGCCACCCAAATGTGCACGCAAAGAAAGAAGGCGTGGTTTCAGGAAGGAAGTAATGTTGATGCAGCCATGTCAGGGAGACGTTGCGTTTCAGTGCGAAAGCAAAAGCAGAGTAACGCGTCGTGTGTGTGTGTGTGTGTGAGGGGAACAGGGTCACATCACAGGAGAGTGAACTGCCTGTCAGAAATCATAGCACGTCAGCTGTCTTATGTTTTTTGAACATTAAAGCATGTCAACATATTCTGTTACACCAATATGACCCCTTTAAATTCCTTATAATCAGATTTCACTCGCATTTTTACATATTCAGTATTCATTGTGTCATGATCAGTTATTATAACACACATGAAAACCAATGACATCAAACCTGGTCTGCCAAAACTGAATATGAACACCTGAGATATGACTATGTCAGTGATGTTTGAGAAAGATATTTCTACAGCAGAAAGAAAGTCATACAGGGTCAGAATAACATGAGGGTGAGTAAATGATGACAGAATAGGAACAACATTCCTGTTTGATTGACTTCAATGATGTTCTGCAGGTGGACCTTTGGAAGCCCAACAGTGCATACATGATTCAAGAGAACAGCCCAGTAGACGTTCATGTGGGACGGAACAAGACACAATGGCTAAGAAGACGTCTTCGCCAAGCGCACATCCACTATGAGTGAGTCAGCTTTTCCTCCCTTGGGACTTATATTAGAGTGAACTTCTCTCTTGTACTCCTGCGGGTGAAACATCGGTTTCTGGGGGACACACATTTGAGTTCTACTCGGATTCTTCAGACTTTGATTTGCGTGTGCCGAAGGATCCAGAAATGAAAGCTCGATTCAGAGTAGTCTTTCAGCCACTCGCTCCATCAATCATCCAGATCAACAGCAACAATGCAGCTTATCTCACGTGCCGCAGCCAGAAGCACTTTCATTGTCATCCCTTTCCCCAGGGAGGCCTTTTCTTCTATACCTCCTCTCCTTCTCATGGCTGATGTATTTGAGCATATTTACACGCAGAAGTGATACCTCAGAGGATTCTGGGTAATGGGACAGGTTGAGAAAGAGAAATTTATGCGTCTAGTGCTTTGTTTACTCTAGTTAATTTAAAAACCTCCTTCTTTGCTTGCTTTGGTTTTGACAGGTCAGATAGATAAATTGTGGCATTTTCATTCCTTCCTCCATATCCTTAGCCAAAAAATAAATAAATAATAATGTTGGTGATATTGAGTCTACCTAACTTTAATAAGAAAACACTTAAATTTTTCTCATTGTTATTTGTGTAAAAATTCTAATTCTAATAAAAAATAAATAAATAAGAATGAATAAACAACTTCATGATCATGACCCTGGCGCAAAGCACTTTGCATCAAAATGCTGGGTTAAATGTTTAACCCAACCTTCTGGGTAGTTTTATTTAACTCAACTGTTGTTTAAAAATTATTATATCGCTGGCTTAAAATGAACCCAAAATAGGTTGTAAAATCAGACACATAATTACTAGAGGCATCAGCAATAATCAAAAGGTGAACATTTATTAATAAGAATTTAAAAATATATATTGTTTCATTATTATTCATTCAACTTATTAATAAAAATTAATTTATTGAACATATAATACATGTTAATTTCCAACCTATTTTGGGTTCATTTTAAGCAAGAAATATAGTCATTTTTAAGCAATAGTTGAGTTAAATAAAACTAACAAGAGGTTTGGGTTAAACAATTAACTCAACCGCTGGGTCAAAACAACCCAGTCGCTGGGTTTGTCCATATTTCGCCCAGCACTGGGGTTTTTTTAATGCAGCATTTTTTAGAGTGTACTTTCCAAATAAACTGCATTAATGAAGTGAAAATAAATAAGTACAGTAAATATGCTAGATAATAAACTATAGTACAAATTTACTAAATATACAAACAGAATATTAAAATATGCTTTCTATAGCTCTGGTGTCATGCAGAAATTGCTGAATGTCTATAAGCATCCGAGTAACCCTGAAAATTGCCATTAAACAGTTAGATGCACAGTGCATGTGCTTTCAACATTCCTTCCCTGACTGTCTCCACAGGGTGCTCATTTCCAATCTCCAAACCGAAATTGAGAAAAAGATCGGACACCAAACCTCCAGGAAGCGCAGATCAGAATTCCAGTATGACTATGAAGTGTACCATCCTTTGGAAGATGTGAGTGCATGGATGAAAATTCATATACATGGTAATTTTTATGTAGAGAGATGAAGAAGACCGAGATCAAATAGATTTTTTTTTCTCTGTCTGCCATCTTTCTCAACAGAAGCTTGACTTTCGCAGGCTTTTGATAGCATCTCAACAGCTTTTGATTGAGAAGTGCATTTGTATTCAGTTGTGGCCCGTGAGCAAGAAAAACAGATCTTGGGAGGTTTTCTTCAGTGCCGTCCTAACCCATCATTAAACCTTTACTCACAGGTCTTCTCCCTCAGACCGAGTGCCAACTTTAAATGAACACGCTGATACAACTTCAGCTCTGTGATTTAGTCCCATGACAAGATGATGAATGGGAAAACCTTCAGAGCTGACGAGGGCTGGATTACATTCAGTTTTATGGATATAAATCCTCTAGTACTCTTATAAAAAAAACATCTGTAAAGAATGCATCAGTTAATGTTTCAAATCTTGAGCTTAGCTTTAACATATTAAGATAATCAAGTCAAGACAAGACAAACATTTCTCTACAAGAAAAACTTCCGATGCTACAGGTTTTGTGTGTATATACAGTTGTGGTCAAAAGTAGGACAGACCTGCAAAATTAAATGTGTATAAATAAATGTGTACAAAGTTTTGAATGACTACAAGCTGCATGTTAATCTGGAGAATATGGGTCAAAATCTTTTCACCCTTATCGACAGATCCAGAGTTGGATGTTTGAGATGAACCGGACACACCCACACCTGGTGGAGCTGTTTTCTATTGGTCAGTCCTATGAAGGACGGCCCCTCTATGTGCTCCAGGTAAAGACTGATGGGAAAGATGGCTAAATTTATAAGCACTCTGTAAAACACACACACACACATATATGGACTTACCAAACAGTGTACTCTGTTATTCCTTCTGCTTGTCATTGTTCACTTCATGCTGATATTTAAATCACTGCAAAGCAAAAACAACAAAATGGTTATGCAGCATATGGTGGAATCCGAAAGACTGAGACCACTATTGAAAATGTTTGAATATATTTGAATATATCATAATTAGTGCTGTCAAACGATTAATCGCGATTAATCGCATCTAAAATAAACGTTTTTGTTGACATAATATATGTATGTGTACTGTGTATATTTATTATGTATATATAAATACACACACATGCATGTATATATTTAAGAAAATATGTTGTTTATATATGAAATATATTCATATATAATATAAATTATATGAATATAAATATATACATGCAAATATATGTAAATATTTTTTAAATATATACTGTATGTGTGTGTATTTATATATACATAATAAATATACACAGTACACACACATATATTATGTAAACAAAAACTTTTATTTTGGATGCGATTAATCATTTGACAGCACTAAAAAAAAAGTTTGTGTGTAAATGTGTGTGGGTTTTTTTCAGGTTTAGATTTGATTTTGAATCCCAAATTTTGAATGTGGTCTCAGACTTTTGGACAAGAATCAGATCATTGTTACACCCAGGCGAAAAAAAAGTGCACTTCCATAATGGACTTAAAGTGCTCTATTTTCACGCACTAATTTTGTACTTAATATACTAAAAATTATTCTTTAGTACTTCTTAAGATAATCTTAAGAACATCTAAGTGTACTCAACTGTGATATTTTGGGACATTACATTACATTTAGTTATTTAGCAGACGCTTTTATCCAAAGCAACTTAAAAATGAGGACAATAAAAGCAGTCAAAACTAACAGAATATCTCTTTGGATTTGAGACTTTAGTCTTTGCAACTTTACAGATCTTCTTTATGCACCAAGAGCTTGTAACACTCCAAAGAGAAAGGAAAAATTAAAATCGCATCATATGACCCCTTTAAGATTACCTTAAGAAGTACTAAAGATTCATTTTTAGTACAAGTACAAAAATAGTGTGTGAAAATAAAACACTTTAAGTACATTATGGAAGTGCACTTATTTTATTTTTTTGCCTGGCAACATTGAAGGTTTTTAGTGTTTTGTTTATTTGTGAGTGAGTTAGTGTATTTTGGGACTGTTTCATTCAGCGAGTCTCTAAATTCCTCCAAAATTAATCTGTATGATACATCAGCTCATGAACTAATATTAAAGAGTGCCTTTAGTTAAGTGATGTCCTTTTATGCTGATCTGGGTGTGGTTTTCTACACAAATAAACTGCTCTCAGATCAGCAGCTAACACTGAGTGAGACAAATATAGAGTGAGATAGAGATCAAAAGAGAGAGAGAGAGACATTAGTACCAGGTATGTTGCAATACCTTCAGTATACCACTATGAGGCAAACCTACAGTGTGACACAGACCTAAAGAAGACTGACCCTGCCATAAACGCTATTACAGCTCAATTGTTCCCCTCGAGCAACCATCTCTCATCATTTTTCTCTTTCTGCTGTGCTCAATTAGACATTACACGTAGTAACACTGCATCTTTCGTATGCATTTTAAATTAAACCAATGCAATATTATGCAGTGAGTGAATCATCGTCAGTATACTACCTTACATAGACACAAAAAATAGCATACAACTATTGCTGCAGCAGTATGTATATATTTTTCACATAGAATACCCAGATGACCTATTGCACTACTGTTCAAAAGTTTGGGTTAGAAAGATCTCTCTTTTTTTATGTTTTTGAAAGTTTCTTATGCTCACCAAGGTTGCATGCTTGTTTGTTTGATCAAAAATACAGTCAAAACTGTAATATTGAGAAATATTATTATTACAATTTAAAATAACTGTTTTCTATCATAATATATTTTTAAAAAGTAATTTATTCCTATGATGGCAAAGCTGAATTTTCAGCATCATTACTCCAGTCTTCAGTGTCACATGATTCTTCAGAAATCATTCTAATAAATTGATTTGCTGCTCAAGAAACATTCTTATTATTATCAATGTTGAAAACAGTTGTGCTGCTTAATATTTTGTGGAAACTGTGATATATTTTTGAAATCTCTTACCTTTATAAATGTCTTTACTGCCACCTTTGATCAATTTAATGCATCCTTGCTGAATAAATGTATTAATTTCTTTTAAAAAAATACTGATCTCAACCTTCATTTTCAAAATATGAAGCAAACAACAGAGCAAACTTGACAGCAGGGGCACCGCTAAGGGGGGGAAGTTAGGACGATTCTAAGGGCCCACGCACTTTTGGGGTCCCTAGAGATCTGTTTTATTATTAGTAACAGTAGTAGTAGTATTGTAATAGAAATTATAAATGTATCTACCAAAGAGTTACAAATAAAACAAAATTACGGCTTATTTCTGCATTTCCAGCAAAATTATCTCCCCCCATTCACTGCATGTTTTCGTCCCGTCCTATGTAGCCTAGAGTCACGAGTGAGATAAGATGGTAAACTGTCAAATTAGAGATGTCTTCGAGTTCAAGGGGGGGCAAACCGAGCCGGACGATTTGGCCAGTCGCACTTTTAAACACGTTTTAGTTTTGCTATAGAAAATCTACAAATTCACAATCTGATTACATAGACCAGCAGCAGGAAGGGCGAGGTTGTCATGGCAACCAGATACACTGCACATGTCTGCAAACATGTCTGTCAAAACGATCTCAAAGGAGGCTTTTATGTTTTGGAAGTGTCTAAAATGATTGTACGCATATGTACATGTCATTGGTGTTTGGCGATGAGTTTTTTTTAGTTTTCCCAATACTTCGGGCAATATAGTGTATGTTTGGTGCGGTAGGGGGCCCAACCTCATATTCTTTCATAGGGCCCAAAATTGCTAGCGGCGCCCCTGCTTGACAGAATACTGTACTGTTCTCAAGAAGCAAGTCTATATCTATTTCATGGAAAGTGGGCTATTTATGCCTTTTGATTAGAGAAACTGAACACACATTGCTGTGTCCTTGTAGAGAGAATATTTTGCTCTATTGAAGTTTATCTGTGGGGAAAACGAGACACACATTTCCTGCATCTCTTGAAGTCTGGCACAATTCCGTTCACTGTGAATGCAGGCGCTGAACTCCTATCAACACGACTCCAGCATGAGACGACTGATGAATCAGCTCAATTTCTACATTATGCCTGTCTTCAACGTGGATGGTTACCATTACAGCTGGGAGACGGTATCTTCTATCTGTTTGTCATATGTCTAGATCTCACTGCAGAGCTCGCTGAAATTAATTGTTTGCAGCTCTGCGCTGTTAAACATGCAGTATGTCTTGTATTTCTTTAAGGTATATTAGGCCGCCAGGCATAATGAAGGAAAATATCTGAGGTTTCTCTCTCTCTTAGGATCGCTTTTGGCGGAAAACTCGGTCAAAGATTCCAAAGTATCATTGTCGGGGAGTGGATGCCAACCGAAATTGGAAAGTCAAATGGTGCGGTAAGTTGTAATTCAGAAAAATCAGATAGCTCCTCTTCCAAACCGAAGAGCCCTGGTGTTCATATAGAAAATAAACAACCATTCCAGAATATGTAGACACAACTTAAGCAGCCAATGAAGATGCCTGACACACAGATTAAAAATTTAGCAACAGAATTAAATATTTACAAAGACAATCTTGTATTTGAATTTCTTTATGTAATACATAAGGAAATTAAGATGTTAGAATCTATGTTTGTGTGTGTGGCTACATTTTTAACGACGGTCTTCTTGCATTACAGATACACTCTAAAGCTGTGGATAAATGCATTTATCAATACTGTAGCACTAACAAAAAATCTCTTCATGTGAGTTACTAGTTACTATAGTGAAAGATGCTGTCCTCACAAGGCTTAACCAGCTAAACTTAAGCCGTCTTTAAGGTTGCTCTGTGCCTGCTTAAAAAATTGTGTAAAGGCACAATGCCACATAAAGCCAGACTAAATTATGCCTGCTCTGACCCATCTCAGTATCAAAGTACTGTAGAAAGGTGCAATTGCTGTGTAAATGCATTCATGCCACCTCTGAGCAGCATTAAACAGTCTGTGTAACGATACCTAAATGCCACTTCAAAAGCAATTCTGTGCCACTTTTGAAATTTTAAGTGTACACTAAAAAAAATCTGTAAAAATAGGGTGTTATATACTGTATAATATACTGTCTAATATACTATACAATAAACTGTATGATTTGAATGAAATTTTATTTATTTGTTGCAGATGTTTTACCAGTATTTTGAATTTTACACTTCATTGCATTGTGCTTTAGAGTTAACAGAAATGTTCGTAAAATTAATGGATAATTTCATGTGTAATGAGCTGCCAGTACTTTTTCTGTTATTTTACAGATTTATTTGAATTAAATAATTAAAGTGTAAATTTGGTGTTATTTGCGGCATAATTTATTTGTATTTACTTATTTTACAGTTTTTGTTTTGTTTAATCATATTTTTGTCTTTTGACAAAACATCTTTTAAATTTAGTCAGTATTTTGTTATGTTATATTCATTAGTTTTTGTCAATTTTACTCTAATATGGCATCAAATTTTATCTAATGGCATTGAAAATAACATTTTAGTTAAAGATAAATTATTAAAACCAAACAGTATACCATCAAACATTTGCTGTCAAACAGAATATCTTTGCTGGTCTTTTAGCTAAATCAGCACTAAACCAGAACTAACCAGCTTCTAAAGTTGTATAGGTTCAGCAGGGTCGAGTTTGCTTATTATCCACTTGTCTTCTTCTTCTTCTTCTTCTTCTGAGACCAAATTTTAAAGTGTATCTCCTCCTTGACCTTTAAAGCTACTACCACCAAACTCGGCCCGTACCTTCAGACTGGTCTGACTCGGGTTGCTATATCTTTTCTAACTGATCCGGCTTACGGTTTTCGTAAACCAGACTATCAAAACCACCTAAAATCCCATAGAATTTCATTGAGGGGGTCAAAACTTTTGTACGATGAATCTTATTTAAAGGGGTCATATAATGCGATTTCAAGTTTTCCTTTCTCTTTGGAGTGTTACAAGCTGATTGTGCATAGATAAGATCCCTGAAGTATTGCTATAGCAAAGCTTAACAACTCCCTACTGAAAAAAAACTCCTAAAACCAGCCTAAGCTGATTGGCTGCTTTGGCTGTTTTCTCAAGCTGGTTTTAAAGTGGTTTTGGACACTTTTTTTAGCAGGTCAGGCTGGTCTTAGCTGGTTTTCAGCTGATCTTTAGCTGTTTTTTTTACTGAATCAACTGGTTTTAGCTGGTTTTAGTTGGATTAGCATAGAAACATGTTAACAACATGCTAGTAACTTGCTAATCATGCTAGAAACATGTTAACAAAATGCTAGTAACTTGCTAATCATGTTAACAACCTACTAGTAACATGCTAGTAACTTGCTAATCATGCTAACAAAATGCTAACACCATGCTAGTAACATGCCAATCATGCTAACAACATGCTAGTAACATGCTAATCATGTTATAAACATGCTAGCAACTTGCTAATCATGCTAACAAAATGTTAACACCATGCTACTAACATGCTAGTCATGTTAGAAACAGCCTAGCAACCACCCCAGGTACCCTAGCAATATGTTTTATACCTATCTGTTTTTCTGATAGACTGTATTGCCTTGAAAACATTCATACTTTAATCTTTAAAACTATTTTAAACGTCAAACTACTTCAAACTGAAAACTTTCAGACTGCAAGCTTTAAAACTTTTTCAAACTTTCTGGCTAGGCTTTTTCAAGCCAACTTAAAGTTTGGCAACTTTACAACTTAAAGTATACAAACTTTTCAATTTTGTTCTTATATGCTTTTGAAGGACACAGGAATAATGCCTGTCTAAAAATGTTCACTCTTAATGCTCTGGTAGATAATACCTGACATTGAGATAGAAAATACACAAAGAATGACCATGAGTCAGCAAAATGTCATGGAAGGAAAGTATTAGTCGTGTACGACCACAGACTCAGAGCAGAAAAGGCAAAGATGAAATGATTACAAAGAAAGCTATACGATTTTTTTTACACCTGCTGTCTTTGCTGTCTCTGATAGATGAGGGTGCATCCCTGCACCCCTGCGATGACACGTACTGCGGTCCCTTCCCTGAGTCAGAGCCTGAGGTCAAAGCTGTTGCCAAGTTTCTACGCAAACACAAGAAACGTGTCAAAGCCTACATCTCTATTCATGCCTATGCTCAGATGCTCCTCTATCCATATTCCTACAAATATGCCACTATACCAAACTTCAACTGTGTGGTGAGTGATTTCTGCCTTCAGACAGTTAATCTTCAATTTGTCCATTTAGGTGGGGATCATTGAGTAATTATTTAATGCCCAAAGAATGTAAATAATCCATTTATTATTTTGGAGTAGATGAAAAACTTTAGATGTATACTCATATTTTTACCATATTTTGAATGTGAGCTGTCTGAATTGAATATAAGAAAACTAATGTCAAGAAAATGCAGCTTTCTATTTAGATGTCCTCAAAACCTGCATGCAAAAACAACAGTGCAACCATTGTAGTCCAATTGACAAGCAAATTATTCCAATTAAGAAGTTCTTTTTACCAAATCAAAAACATACAGTGTGAGCAATGTAGTCCAATTTTCAGTAAATTTAGTGTATCAAACACATACAGCACAACCAAGGTAGTCTAATAGATGAACGTATGACTCTTGTGAGCTGGTTCGTTTAATGGATCATTCGAAATAGTATTAAAAAAACAGTTTGAATCAGTCTAAACATTACAAACAGTTTTATCATTACTTGAACCCTCTGGTATTCCTCACATACAGCAGTCAAAACAGACCGAAGGTATTAAGCATAATATTTTGAAATGAATGTGAAATGTGAATGTGAAATTTTGTTTCCATAATATTTGTTCTTCAATATTTGGTATTTTGAGGGGATTTCGTGATACTATAGTCACCTCTAAAGTCAATACAAATATTAGAAAAATACATTTAATCTTATTTTCAATTAATTTGCAATTAATTAGTGCCATCTGGTGGGAGAAATAAAGAAAATATGTACATGTAATAATGTGGTGTAGCCAGTAGGTGCTTTTATAACACCTATATAAAAATACATATGGCTGTGTATTCCCTAGTTGCTTATAGTATTTTCAGACACAATTACTTTTAATAGGTTTTGCATTTGATCTATATTATCAAAGACTACAACTTCATAGCTGACTTGTAGAATGTACCCCAAATTATTGCTCTGTATTTTCATATTCCTATGGTGGCCATTTTGATCATTCAAAATCAAGTGTGATTCTTTTTTGCGTTCATATAGCAAGTGCCTGTTTTTAACAATTTTTTCAGTTTTAAATGTTGGGAGACAGACAGACAGACAGGCAGGACCGATAGCTAGCTAGATGGATGGATGGATGGCTGGCTGGCTGGACGGATGGATGGACGGATAGACAGATAGATAGATAGATAGACAGATAGAAAAAATACTGTATTTAATTTAGAACAATGTCTTCACACTTCTTTATATAGGATTCTGTAGTAAACACTGCAAAATAATTTGCACCCTGGAGTGATTCAGCCTTTAAAAAGATAGAGCTCAATATAATCTGCCAGAGGGCAAAACATTAAACCCCTCATTAAGAATATGGAATAGCTGAGATATAATTTTTCGGGCTTGCCTCAGTGCAGTTTACTTATATATTGACTGGATGGCTGTTAGCCCACACAATCTTTTGACTACACTTATCTCCAAGCATCCTTAATGATCGACTGGACCAATACTTGAAGCACATTTGAACCTCTGCTCTTCCCCCTCAGGAATCAGCAGCTCAGAATGCAGTGAGCGCTCTATACTCAGCTTATGGAGTGAGATACAGATACGGCCCTGCCTCCACCACACTTTGTAAGTCAGGCATTCTGCCTTTTCTTCAATCAATGACATATAGCTACTGCATGTATGAGTCATCCGCTCTCTGTATGCCCTCTCAGATAGATGCCAGTCTGTTGTCTGACTCATCATGACTATTTCTATATCAACAACAGTCAGATGTCCAGATGTGATGTAATGCGTTTCTTTAAATTGCAGATATGAGTTCTGGTAGCTCAATAGACTGGGCCTACAAGAACGGGATACCATACGCCTTTGCCTTTGAGTTGCGTGATACGGGCTACTTCGGCTTCCTGCTGCCAGAAGCCCTGATTAACCCAACTTGCACAGAAACCATGAGAGCAGTAAAGACCATCGCTTCAGGCCTGCTGAAGAAATGTACCAAATGAAACCTTCTCTATCTTCTTTTGTCTTGTCTTGTCTTCCCTCTATCTATTTCACACCCATAAGCCATAGCAATGTCTACTAGCTATGTACAAATGTGCCTGCGTTTTATATATATTTTTATGTTAGTAACTAAGATTTATTTATTTTATAAGCTACTTTAAAGAAGCTCTACATTAAACAAAATGGTATAAATGTAAACAGTTAAGAAATGCAAGCACTTGAATTGTGAACTAAAGCTTTCTCAAGCTTCAAAAGAACAGTAATGCACAAAGAATGTAAATAATGCATACTGTTAGCTTAAAATGGGTTCATTTGAGTTCATATGCTGTGTGTAGTTGTGTATCACTGCAGCTAAAATACAGCTTTGATTTTGTTTTGAATTGAAACTGAAAAGGTCACCTGGGAACTCAACCTCTAAAATGAGCCAGACAAGAATACATAAAATTGCTGTTTTGTTTTGAAGAAAACTTATCAAAGTAACTTTAACTTGTATAATTAATTGTACTTGCGAGGGCAATGTTTACATTTGTATTATTAAGTACTATCAAGTTTTGGAGTTTAATTGTAATAAGCCAGTATTTATTTCAACAAAAAAAAAACAGTACTTTGTTATATATAAAGTGTCTTGCAAGTTGGCATTTAAAATGTTGTTTTCATTGTACACAGATTTTTGTATCTTACTGTTTATTTTACCAACAGGTAGGTTATTAAAAGTGGTTTTATCATAACATAACATTCTTGCTTAATATAACACAATCATCAACGGGCAGCATCCATCATCCAAAAATGGATTGTTGCAAGATATAAGCCCTACTACCCAAATAACGAAAAAGTACTTCCCAAATATGAAAAATAAAGTTGCAAATACAAGAACGAGCAGACTACTTATGCAAAAGAGACAACCTGGAGGGCGCTTACAAGTACTTTGGGCACTATAGGCCTATGTAATGGGAGAAACGAAGAACTTGTCCCATTGGGCCATAATCCATCCTTGAGTATTTGGAATTTATATCACACCAGAAACATACTCATCATCACATCACGATTGGGAGTGTGGTATTGATTTTATACACAGTTGTATAACTATTAACAAGTAGTTGATATTGAGCAGAGGAGCAACAGAGATTTTGGTGTATTCACTCGACAATAAATAAATCCACTCCGGGTTTTCCATTCTGTCACTAGTGAGAGAAACCCGTGCTCCGAGCGATCACTGCGCGAGAGTAAACAGGCGGAAAAAACGCTCCTCGCTGCAGATGAAATTACATAGCTGCCTCCAATCGCGAAAGAAAATAAGTATAAAATACAGACTCCAACTTTCAAACAAAAATCTCTCCAGGCAAATCAGCTCTCAGCCGAGTCCACTCAATCTAAAACGGGGTGATACAAAAAAATGCAGTGATAGCGATAATATCAAAAATCAGATTTGATCATGAGTGTTATTTCATTTTTACATATGTAAAATTTACATTACAATCAGGGCTGTCAATCGATTACATTTTTTAATGTAATTAATTACATGATGTGGCGATTAATTAATTTAATTAGTCACAAATTAAATGTGGCTGTGAAAAAAACCCTAAAAGATAATTTAAAGCCATTATTGTGTTAAATGAGAAAAAACATTAGGTTGACATTACAAAACAAAAGTAGCTTTGGGAAGAAATATTTTATTTGATTCAACATAAAATGTATATACATAAACGTTTAGGCTACTGCGGCCTAACAAACTGGAACATAAAAGAAGATTTTTTGTTCAAACCAATGAAAGTCATTGTTAACGAAATTACACTCCAAGTAAGAAACTAAAACTGCCAGTAGGTGGCGGTAAATATCTTTATGAGTAAGTCATTGAGTCATTCATTCATTCATGCATTCGATTCAGGAATGAAAGGGTTATTTCACCCAAAAATTTAAATTCTGTCATTAATTACTCACTGTCATGTTGTTCCAAACCCATAAGACCTTCGTTCATCTTCAGAACACAAATTAAGATATTTTTGATGAAATCAGAGAGCTTTCTGACCCTCCATAGAGAGCGATGTAACTGAAAAGATCCCAGACCCAAAAACGTAGTAAGGACATTGTTAAAATAGTCCATGTGACATCAATGGTTCAACCAGAATTTTACGAAAGCTACAAGAATACTTTTTTGTGTGCAAAGAAAACAAAAAGAACGAGTTTATTCAACAACTCTTCTCTTCCAAGTGACCTTCTTCCGTCATTATCACGTGCTGCTGCTGGCGTAGAATATGCATGCGCTGTGCCTTGTTTATGAGCAGAGGAATGCATACACATGTACTCGTGTTATTCGGGACAAAAACAGCACTGGTGTGATATTGCTCTAGCTGCTCGTGTGAAATCGCTTATCATCATTTGATGTAAAAATTAGACAAAAACGTACGGGGGCATTTTTTGCCCCAATATCTTGAATATTAGGGGCATATAACTTCATGTATGGACTACATCAGGGTGGCAGTGAGTTATTGCCCTGCATCATGTTTGTCAGCAGTCAACTGTTTGAAATGTAAGATGACGTACAGGTCTGGGGGCGGGGCCAGTGCGCTAACTGCATTAAAATATTTTAATTGCGTTATTTTTCCATAGCTAATTAATTCAATTAAGGTGTTAACAATAACATCCCTAATTAAAATATTTATTTATATATAAATAATTATTAATTGATAACAGAAGAATTTACTTTATGGCTTTTTTTACCCTAAATAAGCAGTTGAGTATATTTATCAGTGGTATGATCTGAATTTTGATATACAATAGGCAGCTTGAAACCACGTGGCCTTGACTCATCCTCCGCATTTGATTGTCAGCTTCTTTCTTTCTGTATAGTGTAATGTCATTTCAAGCATCTTGTGAATACAACCTGAGAATTACTCATCCTGCACTGCCAAAAACAAACTGTGGCTTCGCTTGATGGAGAGCAGAGTTTGTCATTACAGAGAGGGTTGACTCATTAATCTCCCATAAAACATAAAACCAGAGTAGAAAAGAAAATCATAAATAATATGTCTTAAAGGGGTCATATAATGCTGCTAAAAAGAACATTATTTTGTGTATTTGGTGTAATGAAATGTGTTTATGCGGTTTAAGGTTCAAAAAACACATTATTTTCCACATACTGTACATTATTGTTTCTCCTCTATGCCCCGCCTTTCTGAAACGCATCAACCCTGTGTGTATCCATGTCTAGCGTGCTGTCTTGAATGCCGATCCCGTGTCCTACGTGTGATTTCCTAGATGTCAATAAAGACTGTTGATTATGATTCTCCTGCATTCTCCTCGTTCCTCGCTCCTTGTTCCTTGCTCCTCACCGTAGGCACACCGTGACAGAAGACAGCACCACAACAGTAAGCGGCGCCCCTTCTCCCCGTTTTGTTTCTGGTTTTTGAAAGTCTTTTGTTTTCTTGTTTTCTTGTTTTCTTGCGGCCCGATTCATTGCCCTAGCCCGTAGAGATCTCCCCTTCGTCGAGTATGTCCGGCCCCGAGCCAGAACCAGTCCGCCGTCAAGTCCGCCGGCCGTTCCTCAGGCAAGCCCGCTGGCCGCAGCATTCTCAAGCACGCCGGCTGCTCCGAAGTCTAGCCCGCCGGCCGTTCCTCGGTCAAGCCCACCGGCCGTTCCTCAGTCAAGCCCACCGATCCTTGCCGTAAGCGCCAAATCAAATGAACGTGTCTGCGTTAGTGCAGCGCAGCAGTAGAGAGAGAGAGAGGGGAAAACCCGCCTGCTCACTGTTATAGCTTGTTATAAGAAATACAATGAAACACAGTAAACTCTTCCACTTATTTGTTTCAGCTCAATGCAGCAGCGGAGCTGAAAGAAATAGTAATTAGTCGGGCAAACTAATGGTTGGTAGCTCGAAGCGCCAAAAACCATAGTGCACGACTTAACGTCCTAAAAATCAGTGCCTCTCATGTTGTTTAATAAACTTGAGAAACACTTGATCCAGGGAGGGAGTAGAGCAACGGGGATTTTATATCAGTAAACTCGCCCCTTAACCCATAGTTTATATCTACAGCTTGTGTCGCCTGCGAGCTCGAGCCCGAGGCTGCTGTAGAGTATGCATCATCTAATCCGCAGCCGAAAGAATCAATTACGAGTTTCCGGAGCGGGAATTAGATTTGACTAACCACCTGACTCACGAGG